AAAATTAGCTGGGCATGGTGGTGGGCACCTATAATCCCAGCTACTTGGGAGGCTGAGGCAGGAGAATTGCTTGAACCCAAGAGGCAGAGGTTGCAGTGAGCAGAGATTGCACCATTGCACTCCAGCCTGGGTAACAGAGCAAGACTCTGTTTCAAAACAAACAAAAAACAGGTATCCACTGAGCCCCTTTGTCATATGCCAGGCACTGTGCCAGGTGCCAGGGCCACAGAGGGAACTCAGACGGGCAAGGAAGCCTAACTCCAGGTGGTCAACTGGGGGCTGTGGCCTGGAACAGCAGGGGGCCTGCTTCCGCTTAGGCTAGTCAGAGGAAGCCTTTATAGGGGAAACTGAGGCAGGCAGCGTGAGAAGGAGAGCCAGCGATGTGAAGGGGGGCAAAGTGGAGGTAGAAGGCAGGGCTCAGGTCAAGGAAGTGCCTCTAGGCTCTGGTGCAGAATTCGGATTTTATCCTTAATTCAGTGAGAAACGGCTGACGGCATTGACACAGGGGGGATGTGATTTTGAAAGCTTGGTCAAAGTTATCCCCACAATGAAGAATGCCTGTAGCCACAGTGTGCCAGCAGAAGCACAGGACTTTTTGTAGATTGAGATGAAATTCGCATAACATGAAATTAACCGTTTTAAAGTGAACAATTCCTTGGCTTTAAGTGCCTTCGTAGTAGTGTATAATCACTACCTCTGTTTGGTTCTAAAACATTTCCTCACCTCAGAAGAAAATCTAGTGTGCATTAGGCAGTGAGCATAGGACTTAGTGTGTCAGAGGGGCATCATGGACCACCCTCTAGTGGTGTTTTATCAATTCACAGTGCCCCCGGGCCCATTTTTTGATGATAAGGGGTAGGCAGAGGACAGGTGCCTAGGATTAGGGGAGCAGTCTGAGGCTGCAAACTACCCATTTAGGGAACCTGTATAAGCATTACAGATTCATGATCTTATCACAGCTAAATGCAGTGTACTACCCTAGATTGGATCCTGAAACAGAAAGAGGTTACTAATGGGGCACGGCGCAGTGGCTCATGCCTATAATCCCAGCACTTTGGGAGGCCAGGGTGGGTGGATCACAAGGTCAGGAGTTCAAGACCAGCCTGGCCAACATGGTGAAACCTCGTCTTTAGTAAAGTACAAAAATTAGCCAGGCGTCGTGGTCGGTGCCTGTAATCCTAGCTACTCGGGAGGCAGAGGTTATAGGGAGCTGAGATTATGCCACATTGCACCCCAGCCTGGGTGACAGAGCAAGACTATGTCTAAAGAAAGAAAGAAAGAGGTTACTAATGGAAAAACTGGTGAAATCCAAATAAAAGTTGGAGTTCGGTTGTTAGTGAGTAACCAGGGTTGGTGTCTTCGTTGTGACAGATGTACCTTAGTAATGGAAGGTGTGAACAGTGGGGAAACAGGGTGAGGGACATGGGAACTGTCCCATGTGTGCAGCTTTTCTGTAAATCTAAAACTGCTCTAAAATACAGTTTATTTAATGAAGAAAATCATAGCTTGACTCTTCTAACACCCCTTTACCCAACTGAGCTCCCTAGAAATGTAATGGAGAAAACAGCCTCCCTCGCTTCTCCTCTCCTTGCCACCCCGTTTTTCTCCCCACTTCCTGGGTCTGGAGCGTAAAGGAGAGAAGGAGGTGCTTGTGTAGGCTTTAGTGCAGGGAGCTGCACTTCTCATCTTAGTGTTCTTAGCTAAGTCACCACACTGGAGGTGTTTACTTGCTTCGCATGCAGAAAGTCTCGGCCTTTGATGCAGACATCTTCCATGCTGACTGTCCTTGTTGTTTTTCCCCAGCAGCTGGTTGAAAAACATTCTGGGTGAAAGAACACTACTCATTATCTGTATCTTGCAGTTGGTTTTTCCCTCAACCTGGTCCTTATCTTCACGTCTTCTGTGGTATTGCCAGGAGCTCCCTTCTCCTGGCTCCACAAAAGGCCAGTGATGACTTCTGGAGGGCCCATAACCCACTACTTAACAATGGTCCCATTTCCATTCCAATACCCTTTACGAGGGAGGGGGCTTGCACATGCTCACTTTTGCGTGTCTTTTTTTTTTTTTTTTTAAACGTTCTTGTAGTATTAAGTATTTTTGAATGCAAGCAGAAAGTTTATTAGGAAGTTGTAAAATGTGTGAAACACAGATTTGGTGAAGCATAGATTTAGAAAGACAGTGCTGTATTTTTATCCTACGTCCCTTGAAAATAACCTGCCAGGCACTCTTTGTATTTGTTTAAAATTACAAACACATTCTGAAGCAGTGTTTAAAATTTGATATTAGTCTAGTTGGAGAGATTTAGGAGCACCCGCCAATTCCTTGCTTCTAGTTTATATAACACATTTCAAGCAGTAAGAATTGATGAATTCTAAGGGGTGGGAATTTTATCTCACTGGTGAGTGGCGTATCATGTGTATTTGTGCAGAAGCCTTTCTGAGATTCCTTTATCATCTCTCCTTTCACCTGTTTTTAACTATATCGGAGGTTAAGTGGACTTAACCTCTGATATTGACCTGCACCAGATTAAAGAACCACAATTGGGAGAGGTGGTAGTGCCCTCTGATTACAGCTAATGGCAGATAATGTTGAAGTCCTTTTCTTACAGGGACAGGTGAGAATTAAATTAGAGAGTCCTCTCTCTTCCCTACTAAAATGTCTTCCACTTGCTGTCAAATGAAGGAAACATATTGGAAAATAATGTACAGAATTAAGCTTAATCCTTTATCAATAAAGCTTTCCACTAATCATCATCACGCAGAATGAGTTTGGGATCTTGTTTCTGTATCACTGAGCTTGTGGAAGGTGGCAATAGAAAGCACGAAGCACGCGTGGTGTCACCTCCATCCAGGGCAGGGCCCACCGTGCCTAGTTCATCATGTTCATCTCGGTGGCCAGCAGGTAGACCTTCCCGTGGCACCGCCAGGCCCTGCCCTACATGCAGAGGTGGGACCACGTCCTTTGCAGATTCAGAGGCCTGGCATAGTTTGTGGGGTGACATTAAGTATTTCAAACCTAAACCACCAAAAGAGAAGGATTTGGTGGCCACATTTCTAAACTCCACTTTTTAGGATTTGTTGTTTACCAAGATTCGATTTTCCTCCTCTCCACCCACTTATATGTATGGGGCGTCATGATTGATGTTGCTTGTAGTGTTTCCCAGAAAGACGCTGTTCGGGAGCATTGCAGCAGACAGCTCCCACCCTGCTCTGCCTGCCTGCACCCAGTCAAGTCGATCGGCCAGAGTGGGGTTAGTTCCCAGCATCATCCAGAAAAACTCAGCCTGCAGCATTGGCGTGAAGTGCATTGGGGAGCAGCATGACGTGCCGGAGGAGGCTCCTTGGTCATCAAGATGAGGAGCTTGCTCAGGCTGAAGATAGTGGCCAGGTGTCCTGACAGTAGTGGGAGGTGCCCCAGCTATGCCCACCTCTGAGATGAGAGTTCTGGGCCACCCCCAGCAGCTCACATGGCATTAGTGGAGGAATTCTCCTCCTGCTCTCGCTGAGGCTGAACCCCAAGAACTCCCTCTCTTAGGCGTTCATTATGTGGTCACAGTCACTGTGCTGGATCTGTTTTCCTGCTCAGAAGCAGCAGCTGCGGCCAGCCCAGAACGAGGGCCTGCTGGGAAGGGAGGAAGCCCTCCGAGGTCTCTCCTTCAATGTGTCAGGGGACAGGGATTGCCTTGCAGAGCCAAACCAAGCTGATACTCACCTTTTTATTTCTGGTAAACAATGTTAGGAGCTAGGAGAATGGAAGCATGACCCTGTCACATTCTCTCAGGCTGGTGCCTCACCCCCTGGCTTACAGCCTGAGCACCTGAGCTTCTGCAGCAAATCCCACCACAGGAAGCAAAATTCTGCCTTCCTTTTGTCTGCAGGCGTTCACTCCATCAGCAAGCCCTTTTCACTCTTCCTCATTAGACCCCTTACCCAAGTGTGGAAGTGGCGGAGGGCTGGGGACAGCTTGCTGTGGGCCTG